GAGAGAGAGACAGACACAGAGAGAGAGACAGACACAGAGAGAGAGACAGACACAGAGAGAGAGCTTTTCCTATTCTTTCAGAAGTGAGAACATGAAGAAACACGACTCCAACATTTTGGCAACAAACATCTGTGAATAAATAATCTCAAAATAATTTAAAAAACAGGAACCAATTTGGCTTCAAGGACACGGCCACATGCGTTTGTGAAAGAGCGTCGCACGTGTATAACTATGTAAATGTGTTTTTGAGATGAGTTTTATAAGTTTTGAGTTTTAAAGTTGGCTTGGAACTTGGAGAAGGGAGTTTTGGTGCATTTCCAAACCGTGCATCAGGACCTCTGTGTAAATGATCATTAATCTCAGAGTGCAGAGAGACTGTGCAGAGACTGTGCAGAGAGACTGTGCAGAGACTGTGCAGAGACTGTGCAGAGACTGTGCAGAGACTGTGCAGAGACTGTGCAGAGACTGTGCAGAGACTGTGCAGAGACTGTGCAGAGACTGTGCAAGAGACTGCAGAGATGCAGAGACTGTGCAGAGACGTGCAGAGACTGTGCAGAGACTGTGCAGAGACTGTGCAGAGACTGTGAGAGACTGTGCAGAGACTGTGAGACTGTGCAAGACTGCAGAGACTTGTGCGAGACTGTGCAGAGACTGTGCAGAGACTGTGCAGAGACTGTGCAGACTGGCAGAGACTGTGAGAGACTGTGCAGAGACTGTGCAGAGACTGTGCAGAGACTGGCAGAGACTGCAGAGACTGTGCAGAGACTGTGCAGAGACTGCAGAGACTGTGCAGAGACTCAGTGCAGAGACTGTGCAGAGACTGTGCAGAGACTGTGCGAGACTGTGCAGAGACTGTGCAGAGACTGTGCAGAGACTGTGCAGAGACTGCAGAGACTGTGCAGAGAGACTGTGCAGAGACTGTGCAGAGATGCAAAGACTGTGCAGAACTGCAGAGACTGGCAGAGACTGTGCAGAGACTGTGCAGAGACTGTGCAGAGACTGTGCAGAGACTGTGCAGAGACTGTGCAGAGACTGTGCAGAGACTGTGCAGAGAGACTGTGCAGAGACTGTGCAGAGACTGTGCAGAGACTGTGCAGAGACTGTGCAGAGACTGTGCAGAGACTGCAGAGACTGTGCAGAGAGACTGTGCAGAGAGACTGTGCAGAGACTGTGCAGAGAGACTGTGCAGAGACTGTAAGTAAGTAAGTAAGTAAGTAAGTTTTTATTTATATACCGCCTTTTCACTGCAGATCTGAGTCTCAAAGCGGTTTACAATTGTTAATGTTGGGCATTTGTCTCTCACTCCACACAGAGATGGGAGCGGGGCCAGTACAGGAGGCACATGCCAGAACTATTGGACATATTTTTAGTGGTAGGGGAAACCGGAGCACCCGGAGGAAACCTACGCAGACACGGGGAGAACATGCAAACTCCACTCAGAAAGGCCCTGGTCCGGCCGGGATTCGAACCCAGGACCTTCTTGCTGAGAGGCGAGAGTGCTATCCACTCAGCCACCGTGCCGCCCCCCTGTGCAGAGAGACTGTGCAGAGACTGTGCAGAGAGACTGCGCAGAGACTGTGCAGAGACTGTGCAGAGACTGTGCAGAGACTGTGCAGAGACTGTGCAGAGAGACTGCGCAGAGACTGCGCAGAGACTGCGCAGAGACGGTGCAGAGACTGCGCAGAGACGGTGCAGAGACGGTGCAGAGACTGTGCAGAGACTGTGCAGAGACGGTGCAGAGACTGTGCAGAGACGGTGCAGAGACGGTGCAGAGACTGTGCAGAGACTGTGCAGAGACGGTGCAGAGACTGTGCAGAGACTGTGCAGAGACGGTGCAGAGACTGTACAGAGACTGTACAGAGACTGTGCAGAGACTGTGCAGAGACGGTGCAGAGACTGTGCAGAGACGGTGCAGAGACTGTACAGAGACTGTACAGAGACTGTGCAGAGACTGTGCAGAGACGGTGCAGAGACTGTGCAGAGACGGTGCAGAGACTGTGCAGAGACTGTGCAGAGACTGTACAGAGACTGTGCAGAGACTGTGCAGAGACTTATCCAGGACTAACGCCTGTTTGAGGTCAGATGGTCATGATTTATAATGTTTGACTGATGATTATTGTAAGAGAAAATATGCAGGGATTTATACAGACTAAATATTTTGTAGTAGTCTCTCCGCTCTCTCTTTCTCACCCTCCCTTCACTCTCCCTCTCTCCTTCACTCTCACAGTCTCCCTCTCTGTCCCTCTCCTCTCCCCTCACTCTCTCCCTCCCTCTCCCTCTCTCTCCCTCTCTCAGCAGCAGCTTGGGCATTATTTATTGATCAGGTCTTCATATCTAACTCCAGACTCTCATAATGAGGTGTAACTAGGGACTTGTGAGGGAGAGAGAGCGTTCTGAGGGAGAGAGAGAGAGAGCGTTCTGCAGGAGAGAGAGAGAGAGCGTTCTGAGGGAGAGAGAGAGACCGTTCTGAGGAAGAGAGCGAGACCGTTCTGAGGGAGAGAGCGAGACCGTTCTGAGGGAGAGAGCGAGACCGTTCTGAGGGAGAGAGAGAGACCGTTCTGAGGGAGAGAGAGAGACCGTTCTGAGGGAGAGAGAGAGAGAGCGTTCTGAGGGAGAGAGAGAGCGTTCTGAGGGAGAGAGAGAGAGCGTTCTGAGGGAGAGAGAGAGAGCGTTCTGAGGGAGAGAGAGAGACCGTTCTGAGGGAGAGAGAGAGAGACCGTTCTGAGGGAGAGAGAGAGAGAGCGTTCTGAGGGAGAGAGAGACCGTTCTGAGGGAGAGCGACCGTTCTGAGGGAGAGCGACCGTTCTGAGGGAGAGCGACCGTTCTGAGGGAGAGCGAGAGAGAGCGTTCTGAGGGAGAGCGAGAGAGAGCGTTCTGAGGGAGAGAGAGAGAGAGCGTTCTGAGGGAGAGAGAGAGAGAGCGTTCTGAGGGAGAGAGAGAGCGTTCTGAGGAGAGAGAGAGAGCGTTCTGAGGGAGAGAGAGAGAGCGTTCTGAGGGAGAGAGAGAGAGAGCGTTCTGAGGGAGAGAGAGAGCGTTCTGAGGGAGAGAGAGAGAGCGTTCTGAGGGAGAGAGAGAGAGCGTTCTGAGGGAGAGAGAGAGAGAGCGTTCTGAGGGAGAGAGAGAGCGTTCTGAGGGAGAGAGAGAGAGCGTTCTGAGGGAGAGAGAGAGAGCGTTCTGAGGGAGAGAGAGAGACCGTTCTGAGGGAGAGAGAGAGAGACCGTTCTGAGGGAGAGAGAGAGAGAGAGCGTTCTGAGGGAGAGAGAGACCGTTCTGAGGGAGAGCGACCGTTCTGAGGGAGAGCGACCGTTCTGAGGGAGAGCGAGAGAGAGCGTTCTGAGGGAGAGCGAGAGAGAGCGTTCTGAGGGAGAGAGAGAGAGAGCGTTCTGAGGGAGAGAGACCGTTCTGAGGGAGAGAGAGCGTTCTGAGGGAGAGAGAGCGTTCTGAGGGAGAGAGAGCGTTCTGAGGGAGAGAGAGCGTTCTGAGGGAGAGAGAGCGTTCTGAGGGAGAGAGAGCGTTCTGAGGGAGAGAGACCGTTCTGAGGGAGAGAGACCGTTCTGAGGGAGAGAGACCGTTCTGAGGGAGAGAGACCGTTCTGAGGGAGAGAGAGACCGTTCTGAGGGAGAGAGAGAGCGTTCTGAGGGAGAGAGAGCATTCTGAGGGAGAGAGAGCGTTCTGAGGGAGAGCGAGCGTTCTGAGGGAGAGCGAGCGTTCTGAGGGAGAGAGAGCGTTCTGAGGGAGAGAGAGCGTTCTGAGGGAGAGAGAGCGTTCTGAGGGAGAGAGAGAGCGTTCTGAGGGAGAGAGAGCGTTCTGAGGGAGAGAGAGCGTTCTGAGGGAGAGAGACCGTTCTGAGGGAGAGAGAGCGTTCTGAGGGAGAGAGACCGTTCTGAGGTAGAGAGAGCGTTCTGAGGGAGAGAGACCGTTCTGAGGGAGAGAGAGCGTTCTGAGGGAGAGAGACCGTTCTGAGGGAGAGAGACCGTTCTGAGGGAGAGAGAGAGAGAGCGTTCTGAGGGAGAGAGAGAGAGAGCGTTCTGAGGGAGAGAGAGAGAGAGCGTTCTGAGGGAGAGCGACCGTTCTGAGGGAGAGCGACCGTTCTGAGGGAGAGCGACCGTTCTGAGGGAGAGAGAGCGTTCTGAGGGAGAGAGAGAGAGAGCGTTCTGAGGGAGAGAGAGAGAGAGCGTTCTGAGGGAGAGAGAGCGTTCTGAGGGAGAGAGAGCGTTCTGAGGGAGAGAGAGCGTTCTGAGGGAGAGAGAGCGTTCTGAGGGAGAGAGAGCGTTCTGAGGGAGAGAGAGCGTTCTGAGGGAGAGAGAGCGTTCTGAGGGAGAGAGAGCGTTCTGAGGGAGAGAGACCGTTCTGAGGGAGAGAGACCGTTCTGAGGGAGAGAGACCGTTCTGAGGGAGAGAGACCGTTCTGAGGGAGAGAGAGACCGTTCTGAGGGAGAGAGAGCGTTCTGAGGGAGAGAGAGCGTTCTGAGGGAGAGCGAGCGTTCTGAGGGAGAGCGAGCGTTCTGAGGGAGAGAGAGCGTTCTGAGGGAGAGAGAGCGTTCTGAGGGAGAGAGAGCGTTCTGAGGGAGAGAGAGCGTTCTGAGGGAGAGAGAGCGTTCTGAGGGAGAGAGAGCGTTCTGAGGGAGAGAGAGCGTTCTGAGGGAGAGAGACCGTTCTGAGGGAGAGAGAGCGTTCTGAGGGAGAGAGACCGTTCTGAGGGAGAGAGAGCGTTCTGAGGGAGAGAGACCGTTCTGAGGGAGAGAGACTTTGCCTCTGGGACTATACTGTCCCTATTCAAATAAACTAATAAAATAAACATCAGGGTCATACTCCACCTCCTCCACCTCCTCCACCTCCCCCTCCTCCTCCCACTCCTCAACCTCCTCCTCAACATCCACCACCTCCTCATCCTCCTCCCCCTCCTGCTCCCCCTCCTGCTCCTCCTCCCCCTCCTCCTCATCCACCTCCCCCTCCTCCTCCACCTCCTCCTCCCCCTCCACCTCCTCCTCCCCCTCTCACCTCTTGAAGGAGACGTTCTGCTTCCTCTTGTGGCAGTCCATGACCCACTCCTTGCGGACGATGATGCCCCCCGCTGCCTTCACCTGGCTGTATTTGGGGGTGTTGGCGAAGGCACAGCTGCAGAAGAGTCACATCAGTTAGAAAAGGAGGTTAATGTTGGTGTCTGTGAAGGAGGAGGAGGAGGAGATCACAGAGTCCTCCACCCAGAGAGGAGCAGACACAGCATCAAGAGACAGAATATCTAATGTTAGTGGCTGAAGATTCCACAATTCATGAAATGAATATGAAGAAAGAAAAAGTCCTTCAGCTTCTATGTGTGTTCTGTGTCGGACATTTTAACATAATCTGCTCAAACTGTGGATAAGACCCAGAGTTCCCACGTGTGCCTTTTACTGTAATTGTTTGTAATGTATTTTATCTGTAAAAACCATAAACTGTTTATATTAACGGACGTAGTCACGCCCATCTCCGCTGTTCTAATGGGCCAAAAATTGGGCTTTCATGGAGTGATTCAAAATGGCCGCGGGGGCTGGAAAATGTGAAAACGCATCTGCGCATGTGTCACAGTGAGTAAATAATAATAATGCATTGGTTTTATAAGGACGACAGTAGCTCAGTTGGTAGAGCATTGGCCTTTGGGCCTGAAGGTCGTGGGTTCAAGCCCACCGTAAGACTCAGCTCCTGTGGACTCAGCACCTGCAGGAGGATCAGTGAGGGGCTGGTGCTCTGTGTCCTGGGTACAGCTCTGACTGCCACCCCCCTGACCTAGGAATGGATTAAGGGGAAGAAGATGGATGGATGGTTTTATAAAGTGCTTTTTTGCACACTCAGACACTTTACTCCAAACTCTGTGGTGATAAACTACTACTGTAGCCACAGCTGCCCTGGGGCACATTGACAGGGGGAGGCAACCAGTCTGTGCCATCGGCCCCTCCCACCACCACCAACCATTCACACACACACCAGACTCATTCTAATGTGGGGGAAGTGTCTTGCCTAAGGACACAACCACAGTTTGGCACTTTACAGCCACAGCCGCCCCACTGTGGCACCTGCTGTTCCCAGAGGTTAAGTGTCTTGCCCAAGGACACAACGACAGCAGACAGTGGGAGTCGATGGTGAAAGTCGGGATCGAACCCACGACCCTCAGCATTGACACACATGTGGAACGGAGCTTTGGACCAAGAGCCACTTCTGGACCATCCTGTAAAGACGTTTTCCAGAGGTAAGAAGATGTGTACATTTGCATTGAATAATTCCCTTTCAGGGTCCACCCCCACAGGCCCGGGGTGGTACTGCAGCATGTCAGGGTCCACCCCCACAGGCCCAGGGTGGTACTGCAGCATGTCAGGGTCCACCCCCACAGGCCCGGGGTGGTACTGCAGCATGTCAGGGTCCACCCCCACAGGCCCGGGGTGGTACTGCAGCATGTCAGGGTCCACCCCCACAGGCCCAGGGTGGTACTGCAGCATGTCAGGGTCCACCCCCACAGGCCCGGGGTGGTACTGCAGCATGTCAGGGTCCACCCCCACAGGCCCGGGGTGGTACTGCAGCAGGTCAGGGTCCACCCCCACAGGCCCGGGGTGGTACTGCAGCATGTCAGGGTCCACCCCCACAGGCCCGGGGTGGTACTGCAGCATGTCAGGGTCCACCCCCACAGGCCCGGGGTGGTACTGCAGCATGTCAGCACCACCCCCACAGGCCCGGGGTGGTACTGCAGCATGTCAGCACCACCCCCACAGGCCTGGGGTGGTACTGCAGCATGTCAGGGTCCACCCCCACAGGCCCGGGGTGGTACTGCAGCATGTCAGGGTCCACCCCCACAGGCCCGGGGTGGTACTGCAGCATGTCAGGGTCCACCCCCACAGGCTCGGGGTGGTACTGCAGCATGTCAGGGTCCACCCCCACAGGCCCGGGGTGGTACTGCAGCAGGTCAGGGTCCACCCCCACAGGCCCGGGGTGGTACTGCAGCATGTCAGGGTCCACCCCCACAGGCCCGGGGCGGTACTGCAGCAGGTCAGGGTCCACCCCCACAGGCCCGGGGTGGTACTGCAGCATGTCAGGGTCCACCCCCACAGGCCCGGGGCGGTACTGCAGCATGTCAGGGTCCACCCCCACAGGCCCGGGGTGGTACTGCAGCAGGTCAGCGCCCGTCATTTTGGCCACTTTTGAGCCGGGACCCGCCCACACTGGTAAAAGCCAAAGGTGTTGAAAACTAGCAAATGCGCTGCAACACTAACAGCAGTGAATATGGTTCGTCCAGAGTTATCATGTACATACTAATGAACAAACAACCGGGAGATACAGGAATTAGATTTGGCACAAGTTAAACAAAGGTAAAGCTTCAAAAATCTTCATAAAATGTCTCAAAATGATACGTACTGAATATTAGGACGGAGGAAGTGCACACAATAGGCATGTGTCCAACAGTCGTGTATTTACAGACATTCCTCCTGCTCGGTGCCTCTGCTTTTACATCACTGCATCCTGATTACTCTTTTATATATTTGTAACTACCTCAAAATTAGATGATTTTATTAGACTCTTTGGTCCGACTGCTCTCACTTCTCATCAGTGGCGTTTCCAATCCGGCTAAACACAGTTTGATAGTTTGTATTTATGATCTGAGGCACAGAATCAGATTAAGCAGATTTTTGGCGGTGAAACACGATGAGACAAAAAAAGAGTGGCTTCAAAGGAAGATAAACTAAACCAAAGTCCATTTCCACAGAGGAGATTATCAAAGTGATTTACTGCTCATCCAGACCCAAGCTTTATCGCTACATTCATACTAAAGTGCTTCACTAAACAAACGATAGGACCGGGACCATGACCAGGACCAGGACCAGGACCGGGACCATGACCGGGGCCAGGGCCAGGGCCAGGGCCAGGGCCAGGACCAGGGCCAGGGCCAGGGCCGGGGTCAGGACCAGGACCAGGACCAGGACCGGGGCCAGGACCAGGGCCAGGACCAGGGCCAGGGCCAGGACCAGGGCCAGGGCCAGGGCCAGGACCAGGGTCGGGGCCAGGACCAGGACCGGGACCGGGGCCAGGACCAGGGCCAGGGCCAGGAACAGGGCCAGGAACAGGGCCAGGACCAGGACCAGGACCAGGACCAGGGCCAGGACCAAGGCCAGGGCCAGGACCAAGGCCAGGGCCAGACCACGGTTAATCGCAAGGCTCCGAAGAGTCAAAACACTCATAAACGAAAGCAAAGGTTTTATAATAAAATAAAGTTAATCCGATCAGAGAATTTCTTTGTTTAAAAAAGGTTTAGGATTTTCCCACATTTTAGCAAAGATCCGCCCTCCCCCTTTTCGACCAAAACTCTCTGGTCTTATTGGACGATCACCAGAATGATTGACAGTTGGGAGGACCAATAGTCTTGATGAACAGAAATAAGTAAGGGATAACGTATATTACGCAGGTCATTTCCGTGCACGTGTGTGAAGAATGTATAAGTATTCTCCGATTAACATTTAAGTGTGTTGATTGAGCGTGGCTAGCTCCGGAGTGGCCGGAACTACTGTCGGAGTTATCCACGCATTTGAAAGACAAGCAGAGAGTGCGTTGCCAAAGGGCAGCGGTCATTACTGTTTTGAGAGGTCCGTAATAGAAAATAATGACCGTAGAAGGTTTTGAAATTACATTCAAATCAATGGTTCTCCTGCTGCTGTGAGGAGCTGTGATAAAATAAAGGTATAAACGCACACTTTGTCATTGTGTGTTTGAAATAAACTAAACTAGACATTGTATAAAGTACAGTTCAGGTCTTTCTGGTTGTGGCTTCAGTGAAAGGTTCAGACAAATGGTAACATGCATTTTCTTCCGCTTCATCCGTGGCCGGGTCGCAGATCTACTAAATCTTGCTTCAGGAAACATAATCATAAAGTTCCCCGTCCTTTAACCCTTCACACAAACCCACCCGGCCGTTAGTGTGTGACAGTTTATTCAATGTTTTCACTTTGTGTTAGAAAAATGTGTTTTACTGCATTTGGGCTGATCCTGGAGAGAACTCTGTGGCGCCCACTGCTTCTGCTCTTTCACCTTTATCCAAAAAGTGAAACATGAAAAAGCAGAGACGGAGAGTTTGGGTCAGAGGCAGAATGGACGCTCATGATGGAGGAAAGGACTAATCCTTACCTTTCAAAACAGACTTTAAATGCACTAAACACTAGAAAAATGACTTGAAATGGGGTTTGTTGGACTGTGACTAGTTAATGTTCAGTCTAACCCAAAGGACGGACCAAGCTCAGATTTAAGAACTTTAGGCAAAATAAATGTATCTGTCTTCTCATAAACTATATCGTGTTTAATTTGAAGTTGAAATTACTTTTGAAGACCTTCTGGAAGCACATTGGATTCAGCCTTAAACATTAAATGAAGGATTTTTAAGTTAAAAAGGTCTTGGAATTTCATTTGTTTTTAGAAATCCAATGTTTTTGTAACTGTATTATCCTTTATCCTGACTCCAGCATCTCCCTCTATGGTCTGTCCTTCCTGCTGCTGTCAGACTGTACAATGACCCTGCTGCTGTCAGACTGTACAATGACCCTGCTGCTGTCAGACTGTACAATGACCCTGCTGCTGTCAGACTGTACAATGACCCTGCTGCTGTCAGACTGTACAATGACCCTGCTGCTGTCAGACTGTACAATGACCCTGCTGCTGTCAGACTGTACAATGACCCTGCTGCTGTCAGACTGTACAATGACCCTGCCCTATAGGTGCAGTATATAAATATTGTTTTTAAAGACCGGTTTTGAAGCTTTTACAGCTAATAAACACAGCTACTACTTATTCTGTATATTGTGTGTGTTCCCTGTGTCTCTCACTACTGTCCTGTCTGTGCGCTGCAACACTGACATTTCCCCACTGTGGGACCAATAAAGGATCTCTATCTTATCTTGTTTATGTTTGTATACTTGAAATGTCCTTTTATATTCCATTTGGTTTGGGCGTTGCAGCTGTATAGCCACAGGTATTACATGATTAGCAGCTGTATAGCCACAGTTCTTACATGATTAGCAGCTGTATAGCCACAGGTATTACATGATTAGCAGCTGTATAGCCACAGTTCTTACATGATTAGCAGCTGTATAGCCACAGTTCTTACATGATTAGCAGCTGTATAGCCACAGGTATTACATGATTAGCAGCTGTATAGCCACAGTTCTTACATGATTAGCAGCTGTATAGCCACAGTTCTTACATGATTAGCAGCTGTATAGCCACAGTTCTTACATGATTAGCAGCTGTATAGCCACAGTTCTTACATGATTAGCAGCTGTATAGCCACAGTTCTTACATGATTAGCAGCTGTATAGCCACAGTTCTTACATGATTAGCAGCTGTATAGCCACAGTTCTTACATGATTAGCAGCTGTATAGCCACAGTTCTTACATGATTAGCAGCTGTATAGCCACAGTTCTTACATGATTAGCAGCTGTATAGCCACAGTTCTTACATGATTAGCAGCTGTATAGCCACAGTTCTTACATGATTAGCAGCTGTATAGCCACAGTTCTTACATGATTAGCAGCTGTATAGCCACAGTTCTTACATGATTAGCAGCTGTATAGCCACAGTTATTACATGATTAGCAGCTGTATAGCCACAGTTATTACATGATTAGCAGCTGTATAGCCACAGTTCTTACATGATTAGCAGCTGTATAGCCACAGTTCTTACATGATTAGCAGCTGTATAGCCACAGGTATTACATGATTAGCAGCTGTATAGCCACAGTTCTTACATGATTAGCAGCTGTATAGCCACAGTTCTTACATGATTAGCAGCTGTATAGCCACAGTTCTTACATGATTAGCAGCTGTATAGCCACAGTTCTTACATGATTAGCAGCTGTATAGCCACAGTTCTTACATGATTAGCAGCTGTATAGCCACAGTTCTTACATGATTAGCAGCTGTATAGCCACAGGTATTACATGATTAGCAGCTGTATAGCCACAGTTCTTACATGATTAGCAGCTGTATAGCCACAGTTCTTACATGATTAGCCCTGTATAGCCACAGTTCTTACATGATTAGCAGCTGTATAGCCACAGTTCTTACATGATTAGCAGCTGTATAGCCACAGTTCTTACATGATTAGCAGCTGTATAGCCACAGTTCTTACATGATTAGCAGCTGTATAGCCACAGTTCTTACATGATTAGCAGCTGTATAGCCACAGTTATTACATGATTAGCAGCTGTATAGCCACAGTTCTTACATGATTAGCAGCTGTATAGCCACAGTTCTTACATGATTAGCAGCTGTATATAGCCACAGTTCTTACATGATTAGCAGCTGTATAGCCACAGTTCTTACATGATTAGCAGCTGTATAGCCACAGTTCTTACATGATTAGCAGCTGTATAGCCACAGTTCTTACATGATTAGCAGCTGTATAGCCACAGTTCTTACATGATTAGCAGCTGTATAGCCACAGTTCTTACATGATTAGCAGCTGTATAGCCACAGTTCTTACATGATTAGCAGCTGTATAGCCACAGTTCTTACATGATTAGCAGCTGTATAGCCACAGTTCTTACATGATTAGCAGCTGTATAGCCACAGTTCTTACATGATTAGCAGCTGTATAGCCACAGTTCTTACATGATTAGCAGCTGTATAGCCACAGTTCTTACATGATTAGCAGCTGTATAGCCACAGTTCTTACATGATTAGCAGCTGTATAGCCACAGTTCTTACATGATTAGCAGCTGTATAGCCACAGTTCTTACATGATTAGCAGCTGTATAGCCACAGTTCTTACATGATTAGCAGCTGTATAGCCACAGTTCTTACATGATTAGCAGCTGTATAGCCACAGTTCTTACATGATTAGCAGCTGTATAGCCACAGTTCTTACATGATTAGCAGCTGTATAGCCACAGTTCTTACATGATTAGCAGCTGTATAGCCACAGTTCTTACATGATTAGCAGCTGTATAGCCACAGTTCTTACATGATTAGCAGCTGTATAGCCACAGTTCTTACATGATTAGCAGCTGTATAGCCACAGTTCTTACATGATTAGCAGCTGTATAGCCACAGTTCTTACATGATTAGCAGCTGTATAGCCACAGTTCTTACATGATTAGCAGCTGTATAGCCACAGTTCTTACATGATTAGCAGCTGTATAGCCACAGTTCTTACATGATTAGCAGCTGTATAGCCACAGTTCTTACATGATTAGCAGCTGTATAGCCACAGTTCTTACATGATTAGCAGCTGTATAGCCACAGTTCTTACATGATTAGCAGCTGTATAGCCACAGTTCTTACATGATTAGCAGCTGTATAGCCACAGTTCTTACATGATTAGCAGCTGTATAGCCACAGGTACTACATGATTAGCAGCTGTATAGCCACAGTTCTTACATGATTAGCAGCTGTATAGCCACAGTTCTTACATGATTAGCAGCTGTATAGCCACAGTTCTTACATGATTAGCAGCTGTATAGCCACAGGTACTACATGATTAGCAGCTGTATAGCCACAGTTCTTACATGATTAGCAGCTGTATAGCCACAGTTCTTACATGATTAGCAGCTGTATAGCCACAGTTCTTACATGATTAGCAGCTGTATAGCCACAGTTCTTACATGATTAGCAGCTGTATAGCCACAGTTCTTACATGATTAGCAGCTGTATAGCCACAGGTATTACATGATTAGCAGCTGTATAGCCACAGGTATTACATGATTAGCAGCTGTATAGCCACAGGTATTACATGATTAGCAGCTGTATAGCCACAGTTCTTACATGATTAGCAGCTGTATAGCCACAGTTCTTACATGATTAGCAGCTGTATAGCCACAGTTCTTACATGATTAGCAGCTGTATAGCCACAGTTCTTACATGATTAGCAGCTGTATAGACACAGTTCTTACATGATTAGCAGCTGTATAGCCACAGTTCTTACATGATTAGCAGCTGTATAGCCACAGGTATTACATGATTAGCAGCTGTATAGCCACAGTTCTTACATGATTAGCAGCTGTATAGCCACAGTTCTTACATGATTAGCAGCTGTATAGCCACAGTTCTTACATGATTAGCAGCTGTATAGCCACAGTTCTTACATGATTAGCAGCTGTATAGCCACAGTTCTTACATGATTAGCAGCTGTATAGCCACAGGTATTACATGATTAGCAGCTGTATAGCCACAGTTCTTACATGATTAGCAGCTGTATAGCCACAGTTCTTACATGATTAGCAGCTGTATAGCCACAGTTCTTACATGATTAGCAGCTGTATAGCCACAGTTCTTACATGATTAGCAGCTGTATAGCCACAGTTCTTACATGATTAGCAGCTGTATAGCCACAGTTCTTACATGATTAGCAGCTGTATAGCCACAGTTCTTACATGATTAGCAGCTGTATAGCCACAGTTCTTACATGATTAGCAGCTGTATAGCCACAGTTCTTACATGATTAGCAGCTGTATAGCCACAGTTCTTACATGATTAGCAGCTGTATAGCCACAGTTCTTACATGATTAGCAGCTGTATAGCCACAGTTCTTACATGATTAGCAGCTGTATAGCCACAGTTCTTACATGATTAGCAGCTGTATAGCCACAGTTCTTACATGATTAGCAGCTGTATAGCCACAGTTCTTACATGATTAGCAGCTGTATAGCCACAGTTCTTACATGATTAGCAGCTGTATAGCCACAGTTCTTACATGATTAGCAGCTGTATAGCCACAGTTCTTACATGATTAGCAGCTGTATAGCCACAGTTCTTACATGATTAGCAGCTGTATAGCCACAGTTCTTACATGATTAGCAGCTGTATAGCCACAGTTCTTACATGATTAGCAGCTGTATAGCCACAGTTCTTACATGATTAGCAGCTGTATAGCCACAGTTCTTACATGATTAGCAGCTGTATAGCCACAGTTCTTACATGATTAGCAGCTGTATAGCCACAGTTCTTACATGATTAGCAGCTGTATAGCCACAGTTCTTACATGATTAGCAGCTGTATAGCCACAGTTCTTACATGAGGTGTGTGGCGTCCGGGGTCCAGTCCGGTCTGTACTTGGCCCCCATGTCCAGGGCCTTCTCCCGCAGCTCTGCTCTGAAGGGGTTTTGGAATCCACTGAGCACGAACACCACACCCTCCAGGAGGCGGGGGAAGGGCGGGGGCTGGACCCGCGGAGAACCGGGTTTATGGGCTCTGGGTTTGGCCTCGGCTTTGGACAGACTCTCTCTCTTCTTCTCTGGTTGTTTTGGAGCTGGTGAAGCTGAGGAGGAGGAGAGAATACAATGATTACCATAAAGAATTTACCAGAGAGACCATCGAGAGAGACTAGAAGAGAGACCAGAGAGAGACCAGAGAGAGAGACCAGAGAGAGACCAGAGAGAGACCAGAGAGAGAGACCAGAGAGAGACCAGAGAGAGGCCAGAGAGAGAGAAACCAGAGAGAGAGACCAGAGAGAGACCAGAGAGAGACCAGAGAGAGACCAGAGAGAGACCAGAGAGAGACCAGAGAGAGACCAGAGAGAGGCCAGAGAGAGAGACCAGAGAGAGAGACCAGAGAGAGAGAAACCAGAGAGAGAGACCAGAGAGAGAGACCAGAGAGAGACCAGAGAGAGGCCAGAGAGAGAGACCAGAGAGAGAGACCAGAGAGAGAGACCAGAGAGAGACCAGAGAGAGACCAGAGAGAGAGACCAGAGAGAGACCAGAGAGAGACCAGAGAGAGACCAGAGAGAGACCAGAGAGAGGCCAGAGAGAGAGACCAGAGAGAGACCAGAGAGAGAGACCAGAGAGAGACCAGAGAGAGAGACCAGAGAGAGAGACCAGAGAGAGAGACCAGAGAGAGACCAGAGAGAGGCCATCGAGAGAGACTAGAAGAGAGACCAGAGAGAGACCAGAGAGAGAGACCAGAGAGAGACCAGAGAGAGACCAGAGAGAGACCAGAGAGAGACCAGAGAGAGACCAGAGAGAGGCCAGAGAGAGGCCAGAGAGAGAGACCAGAGAGAGAGAAACCAGAGAGAGAGACCAGAGAGAGAGACCAGAGAGAGACCAGAGAGAGACCAGAGAGAGACCAGAGAGAGACCAGAGAGAGGCCAGAGAGAGAGACCAGAGAGAGAGACCAGAGAGAGAGACCAGAGAGAGAGACCAGAGAGAGAGACCAGAGAGAGAGACCAGAGAGAGAGACCAGAGAGAGAGACCAGAGAGAGGCCAGAGAGACCAGAGAGAGACCAGAGAGAGGCCAGAGAGAGACCAGAGAGAGACCAGAGAGAGACCAGAGAGAGGCCAGAGAGAGGCCAGAGAGAGAGACCAGAGAGAGACCAGAGAGAGAGACCAGAGAGAGACCAGAGAGAGAGACCAGAGAGAGACCAGAGAGAGAGACCAGAGAGAGAGACCAGAGAGAGAGACCAGAGAGAGAGACCAGAGAGAGACCAGAGAGAGACCAGAGAGAGACCAGAGAGAGGCCAGAGAGAGACCAGAGAGAGGCCAGAGAGAGAGACCAGAGAGAGAGACCAGAGAGAGAGACCAGAGAAAGGCCAGAGAGAGGCCAGAGAGAGACCAGAGAGAGACCAGAGAGAGACCAGAGAGAGAGACCAGAGAGAGACCAGAGAGAGAGACCAGAGAGAGACCAGAGAGAGAGACCAGAGAGAGGCCAGAGAGAGACCAGAGAGAGACCAGAGAGAGGCCAGAGAGAGGCCAGAGAGAGAGACCAGAGAGAGACCAGAGAGAGACCAGAGAGAGAGACCAGAGAGAGACCAGAGAGAGAGACCAGAGAGAGACCAGAGAGAGAGACCAGAGAGAGACCAGAGAGAGACCAGAGAGAGACCAGAGAGAGACCAGAGAGAGACCAGAGAGAGGCCAGAGAGAGAGACCAGAGAGAGAGACCAGAGAGAGAGACCAGAGAGAGAGACCAGAGAGAGAGACCAGAGAGAGGCCAGAGAGAGGCCAGAGAGAGACCAGAGAGAGACCAGAGAGAGACCAGAGAGAGGCCAGAGAGAGGCCAGAGAGAGACCAGAGAGAGACCAGAGAGAGAGACCAGAGAGAGACCAGAGAGAGAGACCAGAGAGAGAGACCAGAGAGAGACCAGAGAGAGACCAGAGAGAGACCAGAGAGAGGCCAGAGAGAGACCAGAGAGAGAGACCAGAGAGAGAGACCAGAGAGAGAGACCAGAGAGAGAGACCAGAGAGAGAGACCAGAGAGAGACCAGAGAGAGACCAGAGAGAGAGACCAGAGAGAGACCAGAGAGAGACCAGAGAGAGAGACCAGAGAGAGACCAGAGAGAGGCCAGAGAGAGAGACCAGAGAGAGAGACCAGAGAGAGAGACCAGAGAGAGACCAGTGAGAGGCCAGAGAGAGAGACCAGAGAGAGACCAGAGAGAGAGACCAGAGAGAGAGACCAGAGAGAGACCAGAGAGAGAGACCAGAAGAGAGACCAGGAGAGAGACCAGAAAGAGAGACCAGAAAGAGACCAGAGAGAGACCAGAGAGAGACCAGAGAGAGAGACCAGAGAGAGAGACCAGAGAGAGACCAGAGAGAGACCAGAGAGAGAGAGAGACCAGAGAGAGACCAGAGAGAGACCAGAGAGAGACTAAAAAAATATGGTTTTTAAGATGATGAAATGTCAGTAAAGCAATTTGTGCCAAATTGGTTCAGAATGGCACTACTTGATGAAAAAGAGGAACTGCATAAAAACTATAAAACTTATAAGTCTGAAACTTTAGACAGTTGTCGTCAACATGAACACAGGGTTTGAGAATTGTGAACTTAAAATGAAGTATGCCTTTTTAGGGCCTTTAGAAATTGAATATTTTAGGCAGGCCTTAAAAAAAAAAAAAAAAAAGGTTTTTTTCCCAAACTTCAAAGGATGCAGAGTGAAATAGGAATGACACACATTATTGTAGTATATATTTACATAAACTAGAAGGGCCTAGCTTTAAAATGATGCATCACACAAGCATGTGACATGTAAGATGTGTTTTTAGATAAGCAGTTCTAGTTTAATCTTCTGGAAAAGCCATGTTCCAGCTTCTTCTCTCTTCTCTCTGGCAGAAGATATCGTTGGCAGCAGGACATGTATTGAAGCCGTTTCTGTTTCACAGTGACGATAGTTTCTTGTACTTGTGTAGTTTTATGTCTGTACATGTCTGCTGTACACTGGGGACTTTTGCTCATGTATTCCAGTGTGGTTTTACTGCAAAGGGCAAATAAACAACAGTAGCTCACCTTTAGCAGAGCTGGGAGTGCTGAGCGGACTGGCCTTGTGTTTGGGCGTAGCTGCCTTCACTTCAGGAGAACCCATAGGACTGGTTTTCTTCGCTGGTGGAGGCGCAGACTGCCGCTCTTGGCTGAACTCATATTTTCTCTTTACAGGAGCCTACAAACAAAACACAAGAGTTTAAAGAAGCAGTACGCAATATGGTCTTTGAGCTCAACACATTGTTCCTTCTTCAAAAACACATGGACAGGCAGAGAGTCGAGGGGGAGACACATACTTGGATTAGACTGGATAATAACAGCATCTTCATTGTTAAGAAAACAAAAATCAAACAATATAAATCAAGTAAGGCACTTTCATTTCAAAGCTGCATAACAAACACGATTTGTCTGTATGGCTAAAGCAGCCGTGTGCAAACCATATACGGCCCTCTGTGTTATTTATGCAGCCCTCTGCCACTAACTGAACCCGTCTTTGAGATCAGAAACTCATGCACACATTGCTGGAGCTGAAGTTAGCTGGATGACACCATTTATTTTTAGTATAGACCTTTTTTTATTCCATATATGGCTCTGATGTTGCTGTGGTGAGGCAGTCCTGGAGCGGTCGATCCCACAGAGTTTAAAGTCTGTGCTCTAGAAGAGATCTGGAGGAATGGGCCAAAATACCAACCTTGTGAAGACTTAAGGAAAATGTCTGAACTCTGACATTGCCAAGAAAGGGAAGATAACAAAGTATAGGGATGGACTTTTGTTACGGACTAAATTATTAATTTGCTAAAAAACTCTTTTCTGGATTTCTTTCTCTAAATACTTATTTAGCATATTTTGCCCCACTGTACGTCATGGTGAGCACAGTCAGTAATGTTTATTTATACAGTGCAAAGCGCGTTACTATGTTCAGAGTTTTTATAATTGTTCCATTCTCTCCACACGGTGATGAGGTAGGAGAAACCAGAAACCTTTACAGACACGGGGAGAACATGCAAACTCCACTCAGAAAGGCCTGGAGGTGGAATTGAAACCAGGACCTTCTTGCTGTGAGGCACAAGCTCAAACCACTGCCGCCCACACCGTGGCTCTATAGATCAAGTTTACCGTTTAAAGCTCGGATTGGTACTTCCTGATTGCATGTAGAGTGTGAGAGACCCCAGTGCAGCTGCAGCTGTGGGTGACGTGTGAGTGATTAGCACCTGTGGAGAGGTGGAGGAGGAGGCTTGGCCGGACGAGTGCGAGCTGCCTCCGGTCTTCAGAGCAGCTGCGGCATAACTCAACTTTTCCTTCTGCGGCGACGCTACAGAAAAAGAAAAATCAGATAAATCAGATCTGATTTATCTGATCTCTCCTCTCTCTGTCCTCTCTCTCGCGCCTCTCTCTCTCCCCTCCCTGGCCTCTCTCTCTCTCTCTCTCGCCTCTCTCTCTCCCCTCCCTGGCCTCTCACTCTCTCTCTCTCGCCTCTCTCTCTCCCCTCCCTGGCCTCTCTCTCTCCCCTCCCTGGTCTCTCTCTCTCTCCCCTCCCTGGCCTCTCTCTCTCTCGCCTCCCTGGCCTCTCTCTCTCTCGCCTCCCTGGCCTCTCTCTCTCGCGCCTCTCTCTCTCCCCTCCCTGGCCTCTCTCTCTCCCCTCCCTGGCCTCTCTCTCTCCCCTCCCTGGCCTCTCTCTCTCCCCTCCCTGGTCTCTCTCTCTCTCCCCTCCCTGGCCTCTCTCTCTCTCCCCTCCCTGGCCTCTCTCTCTCTCGCCTCCCTGGCCTCTCTCTCTCTCGCCTCCCTGGCCTCTCTCTCTCTCGCCTCCCTGGCCTCTCTCTCCCCTCCCTGGCCTCTCTCTCCCCCTCCCTGGCCTCTCTCTCCCCCTCCCTGGCCTCTCTCTCCCCCTCCCTGGCCTCTCTCTCCCCCTCCCTGGCCTCTCTCTCTCTCCCCCTCCCTGGCCTCTCTCTTCCCCTCCCTGGCCTCTCTCTCTCTCGCCTCCCTGGCCTCTCTCTTCCCCTCCCTGGCCTCTCTCTCCCCCTCCCTGGCCTCTCTCTCCCCTCCCTGGCCTCTCTCTCTCTTCCCTCCCTGGCCTCTCTCTCCCCTCCCTGGCCTCTCTCTTCCCCTCCCTGGCCTCTCTCTTCCCCTCCCTGGCCTCTCTCTTCCCCTCCCTGGCCTCTCTCTTCCCCTCCCTGGCCTCTCTCTCTTCCCCTCCCTGGCCTCTCTCTTCCCCTCCCTGGCCTCTCTCTCCCCCTCCCTGGCCTCTCTCTTCCCCTCCCTGGCCTTTCTCTCGCCTCCCTGGCCTCTCTCTCCCCTCCCTGGCCTCTCTCCCCTCCCTGGCCTCTCTCTCTCTCGCCTCCCTGGCCTCTCTCTCTCTCGCCTCCCTGGCCTCTCTCTCCCCCTCCCTGGCCTCTCTCTCCCCCTCCCTGGCCTCTCTCTCTCTCCCCCTCCCTGGCCTCTCTCTCTCCCCTCCCTGGCCTCTCTCTCGCCTCCCTGGCCTCTCTCTCTCTCGCCTCCCTGGCCTCTCTCGCCTCCCTGGCCTCTCTCTCTCTCGCCTCCCTGGCCTCTCTCTCTCTCGCCTCCCTGGCTCTCTCTCTCTCGCCTCCCTGGCCTCTCTCTCTCTCGCCTCCCTGGCCTCTCTCTCTCGCCTCCCTGGCCTCTCTCTCTCTCTCGCCTCCCTGGCCTCTCTCTCTCTCGCCTCCCTGGCCTCGCTCTCTCTCCCCTCCCTGGCCTCTCTCTCTCTCCCCTCCCTGGCCTCTCTCTCTCTCTCCCCTCCCTGGCCTCTCTCTCTCTCTCCCCTCCCTGGCCTCTCTCGCGCCTCCCTGGCCTCTCTCCCGCCTCCCTGGCCTCTCTCTCTCTCGCCTCCCTGGCCTCTCTCTCCGCCTCCCTGGCCTCTCTCTCGCCTCCCTGGCCTCTCTCTCTCGCCTCCCTGGCCTCTCTCTCTCTCTCGCCTCCCTGGCCTCTCTCTCTCTCGCCTCCCTGGCCTCTCTCTCTCTCGCCTCCCTGGCCTCTCTCTCCCCCTCCCTGGCCTCTCTCTCTCTCCCCTCCCTGGCCTCTCTCTCTCTCGCCTCCCTGGCCTCTCTCTTCCCCTCCCTGGCCTCTCTCTCTCTCGCCTCCCTGGCCTCTCTCTCTCTCGCCTCCCTGGCCTCTCTCTCTCTCGCCTCCCTGGCCTCTCTCTCTCCCCCTCCCTGGCCTCTCTCTCTCTCTCGCCTCCCTGGCCTCTCTCTCTCTCCCCTCCCTGGCCTCTCTCTCCCCCTCCCTGGCCTCTCTCTCGCCTCCCTGGCCTCTCTCTTCCCCTCCCTGGCCTTTCTCTCCCCTCCCTGGCCCTCTCTCTCCCCTCCCTGGCCTCTCTCTCTTCCCCTCCCTGGCCTCTCTCTTCCCCTCCCTGCCCTCTCTCTCCCCTCCCTGGCCTCTCTCTCTTCCCCTCCCTGGCCTCTCTCTTCCCCTCCCTGGCCTTTCTCTCCCCTCCCTGGCCTCTCTCTCCCCTCCCTGGCCTCTCTCTCTCTCGCCTCCCTGGCCTCTCTCTCTCTCGCCTCCCTGGCCTCTCTCTCCCCCTCCCTGGCCTCTCTCTCCCCCTCCCTGGCCTCTCTCTCTCCCCCTCCCTGGCCTCTCTCTTCCCCTCCCTGGCCTCTCTCTCGCCTCCCTGGCCTCTCTCTCTCTCGCCTCCCTGGCCTCTCTCGCCTCCCTGGCCTCTCTCTCTCTCGCCTCCCTGGCCTCTCTCTCCTCTCTCGCCTCCCTGGCCTCTCTCTCTCTCGCCTCCCTGGCTCTCTCTCTCTCGCCTCCCTGGCCTCTCTCTCTCGCCTCCCTGGCCTCTCTCTCTCTCTCGCCTCCCTGGCCTCTCTCTCTCTCGCCTCCCTGGCCTCTCTCTCTCTCGCCTCCCTGGCCTCTCTCTCTCTCGCCTCCCTGGCCTCTCTCTCTCGCCTCCCTGGCCTCTCTCTCTCTCTCTCGCCTCCCTGGCCTCTCTCTCTCTCGCCTCCCTGGCCTCTCTCTTCCCCTCCCTGGCCTCTCTCTCTCTCGCCTCCCTGGCCTCGCTCTCTCTCCCCTCCCTGGCCTCTCTCTCTCTCCCCTCCCTGGCCTCTCTCTCTCTCTCCCCTCCCTGGCCTCTCTCTCTCTCTCCCCTCCCTGGCCTCTCTCGCCTCCCTGGCCTCTCTCCCGCCTCCCTGGCCTCTCTCTCTCTCGCCTCCCTGGCCTCTCTCTCCCGCCTCCCTGGCCTCTCTCTCGCCTCCCTGGCCTCTCTCTCTCGCCTCCCTGGCCTCTCTCTCTCTCTCGCCTCCCTGGCCTCTCTCTCTCTCGCCTCCCTGGCCTCTCTCTCTCTCGCCTCCCTGGCCTCTCTCTCCCCCTCCCTGGCCTCTCTCTCTCTCCCCCTCCCTGGCCTCTCTCTCTCTCGCCTCCCTGGCCTCTCTCTTCCCCTCCCTGGCCTCTCTCTCTCTCGCCTCCCTGGCCTCTCTCTCTCTCGCCTCCCTGGCCCTCTCTCTCTCTCGCCTCCCTGGCCTCTCTCTCCCCCTCCCTGGCCTCTCTCTCTCTCTCGCCTCCCTGGCCTCTCTCTCTCTCCCCTCCCTGGCCTCTCTCTCCCCTCCCTGGCCTCTCTCTCGCCTCCCTGGCCTCTCTCTTCCCCTCCCTGGCCTTTCTCTCCCCTCCCTGGCCCCTCCTCTCTCCCCTCCCTGGCCCCTCTCTCTCCCCTCCCTGGCCTCTCTCCCCTCCCTGGCCTCTCTCTTCCCCTCCCTGGCTCTCTCTCTTCCCCTCCCTGGCCTCTCTCTTCCCCTCCCTGGCCTCTCTCCCCTCCCTGGCCTCTCTCTCTCCCCTCCCTGGCCTCTCTCTTCCCCTCCCTGGCCTCTCTCTCCCCTCCCTGGCCTCTCTCTCCCCTCCCTGGCCTCTCTCCCCTCCCTGGCCTCCCTCTTCCCCTCCCTGGCCTCTCTCTTCCCCTCCCTGGCCTCTCTCCCCTCCCTGGCCTCTCTCTTCCCCTCCCTGGTCCCTCTCTCCCCTCCCTGGCCTCTCTCTCTCCCCTCCCTGGTCCCTCTCTTCCCCTCCCTGGCCTCTCTCTTCCCCTCCCTGGCCTCTCTCTCTTCCCCTCCCTGGCCTCTCTCTTCCCCTCCCTGGCCTCTCTCTTCCCCTCCCTGGCCTCTCTCTCTTCCCCTCCCTGGCCTCTCTCTTCCCCTCCCTGGCCTCTCTCTTCCCCTCCCTGGCCTCTCTCTCCCCTCCCTGGCCTCTCTCTTCCCCTCCCTGGCCTTTCTCTCGCCTCCCTGGTCTATTTTAAGCACTTATTTTCATATATTTTGTTCTTATTATTCAAAGGGATTTTTCCAGTGCATCCAATAAACCTGATTTAAAAAGGAAAGTCATTAAAATAGTTGAGTGCTTTGAAAGAAGAGATGGACCTTTGAGTTCGGAGGACTTAGAGGCCGTGAACAGAGACCCAGGCTGCAGACCTGGAGCTGCAGACGGAGACTCGTCCTTCAGCCTGAACTGGCCCAGCTTCGTCAGTTTCTGTGGAGACACAAAGTTCAGATGAGTCCAGGACATATTCGCTGCAGTTTCATTAAATAAGGCCTGAGCGTGACATATGACTCAATAACAGGAGGAGAGAGGCTCAGGATCACTGCCTCTCTTGGATTATTCAACACTTCAACCAAAACTGTGAGAAATCCACAGAAGGAGGAACTCTGGGGAAGATTCATCAAAAGTTTTACAAAAATGAGAAATGCAGTGTGTCTGATTAGAGTTGGTTGGAAATGCTGAGTCCTGAACTGTGGGTGCATTTCATACAGAAACTCAGAGGAGACAAGGCATATTAAATATATTAGATATAATCACATTAACAAGAGTGAAGATAATTCAGCTGTTTGAGGAACAGAAGTGTTTTTAACTGTTTTTAACTCTGTCTATCATTTTCAGGAAGACTATTAAAGATTTTAGCTGCATAAATCTAAAACACTGCCTCCTCCTGTTTAGTCCTGACTCTGGGATCAGCAGGAGACCAGTCCCTGTGCTCCTCAGTCCCAGCAGGAGTCCAGTCCCTGTGCTCCTCAGTCCCAGCAGGAGTCCAGTCCCTGTGCTCCTCAGTCCCAGCAGGAGGCCAGTAAGTAAGTAAGTTTTTATTTATATACCGCCTTTTCACTGCAGATCTGAGTCTCAAAGCGGTTTACAATTTTTTATTTTTTTTGGGCACTTGTCCTCTCACTCCACACAGAGATGGGAGCGGGGTCGCCAGTACAGGAGGCACATGCCAGAACTATTGGACATATTTTTAGTGGTAGGGGAAACCGGAGTGCCCGGAGGAAACCTACGCAGACACGGGGAGAACATGCAAACTCCACTCAGAAAGGCCCTGGTCCGACCGGGATTCGAACCCAGGACCTTCTTGCTGAGAGGCGAGAGTGCTATCCACTCAGCCACCGTGCTATCCACCGGCCAGTCCCTGTGCTCCTCAGTCCCAGCAGGAGGCCAGTCCCTGTGCTCCTCAGAGTCCCAGCAGGAGGCCAGTCCTTGTGCTCCTCAGAGTCCCAGCAGGAGACCAGTCCCTGTGCTCCTCAGTCCCAGCAGGAGACCAGTCCCTGTGCTCCTCAGAGTCCCAGCAGGAGGCCAGTCCTTGTGCTCCTCAGAGTCCCAGCAGGAGACCAGTCCCTGTGCTCCTCAGTCCCAGCAGGAGACCAGTCCCTGTGCTCCTCAGAGTCCCAGCAGGAGGCCAGTCCTTGTGCTCCTCAGAGTCCCAGCAGGAGACCAGTCCCTGTGCTCCTCAGTCCCAGCAGGAGACCAGTCCCTGTGCTCCTCAGAGTCCCAGCAGGAGGCCAGTCCTTGTGCTCCTCAGAGTCCCAGCAGGAGACCAGTCCCGTGCTCCTCAGTCCCAGCAGGAGACCAGTCCCTGTGCTCCTCAGTCCCAGCAGGAGGCCAGTCCCTGTGCTCCTCAGTCCCAGCAGGAGGCCAGTCCCTGTGCTCCTCAGTCCCAGCAGGAGGCCAGTCCCTGTGCTCCTCAGTCCCAGCAGGAGGCCAGTCCCTGTGCTCCTCAGTCCCAGCAGGAGGCCGGTCCCTGTGCTCCTCAGAGTCCCAGCAGGAGGCCAGTCCCTGTGCTCCTCAGTCCCAGCAGGAGGCCGGTCCCTGTGCTCCTGGTAGTATCAGTGTAGCATTAGTGTAGACTTACAGGTGGAGTAGCTGCTGGAGGGTCGTTCTTGTCTGGAGGTGAGTGGAACTTGACGAAGGCCAAACCGTACGCTATATTCTGACAAAGAACAAACACAAGCATCATGTGACCAACAGGTGACGGAGACATAACAGAGATTATACAATTTACAATACAATTTATTCTTGTATAGCCCTAGGTCACAACAGAAGTCATCTCAGAGACTTAACAAAACCATTGAAATCACCAACACAGGTCAGAGAATCAACAGTTAAAACACATGAAGAATATAAAGCACACACAGAAGAAAATGTCCATACATGTTGTAGAATGCTAAAGTGTCCTGATCATCACCGATCCTTTCTGTTGGACACTAACTGTCCAACAAGACCCTCCTGCATCGACAAGGAAAAAGAAACAGTTTTAAATATCTCTATATCAACCTGAAAACTCTCAGTTCAATCCCACAGTAAAGATTCATTAATGCTTTGTGTTTTATTAGAAAAACAGCAGATTTTGAGGTTGAAACTTTTCTAGTAACAATGATTTGTTTCTATCTGTGCCAAATGTGACGTGTGTGAGATCAATAAAGTCTGATCTAATAACTTTTACTCAGATAAAGTTTGTGATTTACATTAAATATTATTCTGGACTCAACTCGACTAAAAACAACAAACATCAGCCTGATACATTTCACTCATTAATACATGATTTAAATTATGGATAAAAGGAGAGTTTGATTTATTTGTGTTTAATTCATTCAAAATCTCGAAAGAAAAAAAAAAAAATTATTGTTTGGCTCGTTATTAAATCTATTTACTTTAGACATTTTTGACAATTCAAAAACAATTTCAGGCAAAGGTCAAAAAAAGGTGTGAAAAAGGAAAAGGCAGAAGCTGAAGCTGACAGACACTTTCCTTTTGTGGATTGTTTAAAAGAGAAACATGGCGAAGCTTTAAAGAGATATTTGTACATTTGAAAGAGACGGACCTTGGAGTACGGCTGTGAACAAACCAGTTTGACCCGGTCCCACTTCTCCTGAGCCGGACTCTTCTGCAGCTGAGCAGGACCAAAGAAACGGACTCGGTTCAGGTTTGTCCCGTTACGGCTTTCGGTCGGAGACATGAAGGACGAGGTCACCAACAGCACCTGAGGACCAACGAATGGATGAACAAGCTCCTCAGACCTCCCACTCCTCAGACCTCCCACTCCTCAGACCTCCCTCTCCTCAGACCTCCCTCTCCTCAGACCTCCCTCTCCTCAGACGTCCCTCTCCTCAGACCTCCCACTCCTCAGACCTCCCTCTCCTCAGACCTCCCACTCCTCAGACCTCCCTCTCCTCAGACCTCCCTCTCCTCAGACCTCCCTCTCCTCAGACCTCCCTCTCCTCAGACCTCCCTCTCCTCAGACCTCCCTCTCCTCAGACCTCCCTCTCCTCAGACCTCCCTCTCCTCAGACCTCCCTCTCCTCAGACCTCCCTCTCCTCAGACCTCCCACTCCTCAGACCTCCCACTCCTCAGACCTCCCTCTCCTCAGACCTCCCTCTCCTCAGACCTCCCTCTCCTCAGACCTCCCTCTCCTCAGACCTCCCTCTCCTCAGACCTCCCACTCCTCAGACCTCCCTCTCCTCAGACCTCCCTCTCCTCAGACCTCCCTCTCCTCAGACCTCCCTCTCCTCAGACCTCCCTCTCCTCAGACCTCCCACTCCTCAGACCTCCCTCTCCTCAGACCTCCCACTCCTCAGACCTCCCTCTGCCCAGACCTCCCTCTCCTCAGACCTCCCTCTCCTCAGACCTCCCTCTCCTCAGACCTCCCTCTCCTCAGACCTCCCTCTCCTCAGACCTCCCACTCCTCAGACCTCCCTCTCCTCAGACCTCCCACTCCTCAGACCTCCCACTCCTCAGACCTCCCACTCCTCAGACCTCCCACTCCTCAGACCTCCCTCTCCCCAGACGTCCCTCTCCTCAGACCTCCCACTCCTCAGACCTCCCTCTCCTCAGACCTCCCACTCCTCAGACCTCCCACTCCTCAGACCTCCCTCTCCCCAGACCTCCCTCTCCCCAGACCTCCCACTCCTCAGACCTCCCTCTCCCCAGACGTCCCTCTCCTCAGACCTCCCTCTCCTCAGACCTCCCTCTCCTCAGACCTCCCTCTCCTCAGACCTCCCACTCCTCAGACCTCCCTCTCCTCAGACCTCCCTCTCCTCAGACCTCCCTCTCCTCAGACCTCCCTCTCCTCAGACCTCCCTCTCCTCAGACCTCCCTCTCCTCAGACCTCCCTCTCCTCAGACCTCCCTCTCCTCAGACCTCCCTCTCCTCAGACCTCCCTCTCCTCAGACCTCCCTCTCCTCAGACCTCCCACTCCTCAGACCTCCCACTCCTCAGACCTCCCTCTCCTCAGACCTCCCTCTCCTCAGACCTCCCTCTCCTCAGACCTCCCTCTCCTCAGACCTCCCTCTCCTCAGACCTCCCTCTCCTCAGACCTCCCTCTCCTCAGACCTCCCTCTCCTCAGACCTCCCACTCCTCAGACCTCCCTCTCCTCAGACCTCCCTCTCCTCAGACCTCCCACTCCTCAGACCTCCCACTCCTCAGACCTCCCTCTCCTCAGACCTCCCTCTCCTCAGACCTCCCTCTCCTCAGACCTCCCTCTCCTCAGACCTCCCTCTCCTCAGACCTCCCTCTCCTCAGACCTCCCTCTCCTCAGACCTCCCACTCCTCAGACCTCCCTCTCCTCAGACCTCCCACTCCTCAGACCTCCCACTCCTCAGACCTCCCTCTCCTCAGACCTCCCACTCCTCAGACCTCCCACTCCTCAGACCTCCCTCTCCTCAGACCTCCCTCTCCTCAGACCTCCCTCTCCTCAGACCTCCCTCTCCTCAGACCTCCCTCTCCTCAGACCTCCCACTCCTCAGACCTCCCACTCCTCAGACCTCCCACTCCTCAGACCTCCCACTCCTCAGACCTCCCTCTCCTCAGACCTCCCACTCCTCAGACCTCCCACTCCTCAGACCTCCCTCTCCTCAGACCTCCCTCTCCTCAGACCTCCCTCTCCTCAGACCTCCCTCTCCTCAGACCTCCCTCTCCTCAGACCTCCCACTCCTCAGACCTCCCACTCCTCAGACCTCCCACTCCTCAGACCTCCCTCTCCTCAGACCTCCCTCTCCTCAGACCTCCCTCTCCTCAGACCTCCCTCTCCTCAGACCTCCCTCTCCTCAGACCTCCCACTCCTCAGACCTCCCACTCCTCAGACCTCCCACTCCTCAGACCTCCCTCTCCTCAGACCTCCCACTCCTCAGACCTCCCTCTCCTCAGACCTCCCTCTCCTCAGACCTCCCTCTCCTCAGACCTCCCTCTCCTCAGACCTCCCACTCCTCAGACCTCCCTCTCCTCAGACCTCCCTCTCCTCAGACCTCCCACTCCTCAGACCTCCCTCTCCTCAGACCTCCCACTCCTCAGACCTCCCTCTCCTCAGACCTCCCTCTCCTCAGACCTCCCTCTCCTCAGACCTCCCTCTCCTCAGACCTCCCTCTGCCCAGACCTCCCTCTCCTCAGACCTCCCTCTCCTCAGACCTCCCTCTCCTCAGACCTCCCTCTCCTCAGACCTCCCTCTCCTCAGACCTCCCACTCCTCAGACCTCCCTCTCCCCAGACGTCCCTCTCCCCAGACGTCCCTCTCCTCAGACCTCCCTCTCCTCAGACCTCCCACTCCTCAGACCTCCCTCTCCCCAGACGTCCCTCTCCTCAGACCTCCCACTCCTCAGACCTCCCACTCCTCAGACCTCCCTCTGCCCAGACCTCCCTCTCCTCAGACCTCCCTCTCCTCAGACCTCCCTCTGCCCAGACCTCCCTCTCCTCAGACCTCCCTCTCCTCAGACCTCCCACTCCTCAGACCTCCCTCTCCTCAGACCTCCCTCTCCTCAGACCTCCCACTCCTCAGACCTCCCTCTCCTCAGACCTCCCACTCCTCAGACCTCCCACTCCTCAGACCTCCCTCTCCTCAGACCTCCCTCTCCTCAGACCTCCCTCTCCTCAGACCTCCCTCTCCTCAGACCTCCCTCTCCTCAGACCTCCCTCTCCTCAGACCTCCCTCTCCTCAGACCTCCCTCTCCTCAGACCTCCCACTCCTCAGACCTCCCACTCCTCAGACCTCCCTCTCCTCAGACCTCCCTCTCCTCAGACCTCCCTCTCCTCAGACCTCCCTCTCCTCAGACCTCCCTCTCCTCAGACCTCCCTCTCCTCAGACCTCCCTCTCCTCAGACCTCCCTCTCCTCAGACCTCCCTCTCCTCAGACCTCCCACTCCTCAGACCTCCCTCTCCTCAGACCTCCCTCTCCTCAGACCTCCCTCTCCTCAGACCTCCCTCTCCTCAGACCTCCCTCTCCTCAGACCTCCCTCTCCTCAGACCTCCCACTCCTCAGACCTCCCACTCCTCAGACCTCCCTCTCCTCAGACCTCCCTCTCCTCAGACCTCCCACTCCTCAGACCTCCCACTCCTCAGACCTCCCTCTCCTCAGACCTCCCTCTCCTCAGACCTCCCTCTCCTCAGACCTCCCTCTCCTCAGACCTCCCTCTCCTCAGACCTCCCACTCCTCAGACCTCCCTCTCCTCAGACCTCCCTCTCCTCAGACCTCCCTCTCCTCAGACCTCCCACTCCTCAGACCTCCCTCTCCTCAGACCTCCCACTCCTCAGACCTCCCTCTGCCCAGACCTCCCTCTCCTCAGACCTCCCTCTCCTCAGACCTCCCTCTCCTCAGACCTCCCACTCCTCAGACCTCCCACTCCTCAGACCTCCCTCTCCTCAGACCTCCCTCTCCTCAGACCTCCCACTCCTCAGACCTCCCACTCCTCAGACCTCCCACTCCTCAGACCTCCCTCTCCTCAGACCTCCCTCTCCTCAGACCTCCCACTCCTCAGACCTCCCACTCCTCAGACCTCCCTCTCCTCAGACCTCCCTCTCCTCAGACCTCCCTCTCCTCAGACCTCCCACTCCTCAGACCTCCCTCTCCTCAGACCTCCCACTCCTCAGACCTCCCTCTCCTCAGACCTCCCACTCCTCAGACCTCCCTCTCCCCAGACCTCCCTCTCCTCAGACCTCCCTCTGCCCAGACCTCCCTCTCCTCAGACCTCCCTCTCCTCAGACCTCCCTCTCCTCAGACCTCCCACTCCTCAGACCTCCCTCTGCCCAGACCTCCCTCTCCTCAGACCTCCCTCTCCTCAGACCTCCCACTCCTCAGACCTCCCACTCCTCAGACCTCCCTCTCCTCAGACCTCCCACTCCTCAGACCTCCCACTCCTCAGACCTCCCTCTCCTCAGACCTCCCTCTCCTCAGACCTCCCTCTCCTCAGACCTCCCTCTCCTCAGACCTCCCTCTCCTCAGACCTCCCCTCCTCAGACCTCCCCTCCTCAGACCTCCCTCTCCTCAGACCTCCCTCTGCCCAGACCTCCCTCTCCTCAGACCTCCCTCTCCTCAGACCTCCCACTCCTCAGACCTCCCTCTCCTCAGACCTCCCACTCCTCAGACCTCCCTCTCCTCAGACCTCCCTCTCCTCAGACCTCCCTCTCCTCAGACCTCCCTCTCCTCAGACCTCCCACTCCTCAGACCTCCCTCTCCTCAGACCTCCCTCTGCCTCAGACCTCCCTCTCCTCAGACCTCCCTCTCCTCAGACCTCCCACTCCTCAGACCTCCCTCTCCTCAGACCTCCCTCTCCTCAGACCTCCCTCTCCTCAGACCTCCCTCTCCTCAGACCTCCCTCTCCTCAGACCTCCCACTCCTCAGACCTCCCTCTCCTCAGACCTCCCTCTCCTCAGACCTCCCACTCCTCAGACCTCCCTCTCCTCAGACCTCCCACTCCTCAGACCTCCCTCTCCTCAGACCTCCCACTCCTCAGACCTCCCTCTCCTCAGACCTCCCTCTCCTCAGACCTCCCTCTCCTCAGACCTCCCTCTCCTCAGACCTCCCCTCCTCAGACCCCCCCTCAGACCTCCCTCCTCACCTCCCTCGACCTCCCTCTCCTCAGACCTCCCTCTCCTCAGACCTCCCTCTCCTCAGACCTCCCTCTCCTCAGACCTCCCTCTCCTCAGACCTCCCACTCCTCAGACCTCCCTCTCCTCAGACCTCCCTCTCCTCAGACCTCCCCTCCTCAGACCTCCCTCTCCTCAGACCTCCCTCTCCTCAGACCTCCCTCTCCTCAGACCTCCCACTCCTCAGACCTCCCTCTCCTCAGACCTCCCACTCCTCAGACCTCCCTCTCCTCAGACCTCCCCCTCCTCAGACCTCCCTCTCCTCAGACCTCCCACTCCTCAGACCTCCCTCTCCTCAGACCCCCTCCTCAGACCTCTCCTCAGACCTCCCACTCCCCAGACCTCCCTCTCCTCAGACGTCCCACTCCTCAGACCTCCCTCTCCTCAGACCTCCCACTCCTCAGACCTCCCTTCCTCCCTCCACTCCTCAGACCTCCCACTCCTCAGACCTCCCTCTCCTCAGACCTCCCTCCTCAGACCTCCCACTCCTCAGACCTCCCACTCCTCAGACCTCCCTCCTCAGACCTCCCTCTCCTCAGACCTCCCTCTCCTCAGACCTCCCTCTCCTCAGACCTCCCTCTCCTCAGACCTCCCTCTCCTCAGACCTCCCTCTCCTCAGACCTCCCACTCCTCAGACCTCCCTCTCCTCAGACCTCCCACTCCTCAGACCTCCCTCTCCTCAGACCTCCCTCTCCTCAGACCTCCCTCTCCTCAGACCTCCCTCTCCTCAGACCTCAACCCCACTCCTCAGACCTCCCTCTCCTCAGACCTCCCTCTCCTCAGACCTCCCTCTCCTCAGACCTCCCACTCCTCAGACCTCCCACTCCTCAGAACCTCCCACTCCTCAGACCTCCCTCTCCTCAGACCTCCCTCTCCTCAGACCTCCCACTCCTCAGACCTCCCACTCCTCAGACCTCCCTCTCCTCAGACCTCCCTCTCCTCAGACCTCCCTCTCCTCAGACCTCCCACTCCTCAGACCTCCCTCTCCTCAGACCTCCCACTCCTCAGACCTCCCTCTCCTCAGACCTCCCACTCCTCAGACCTCCCCTCCCCAGACCTCCCTCTCCTCAGACCTCCCTCTCCCAGACCTCCCTCTCCTCAGACCTCCCTCTCCTCAGACCTCCCTCTCCTCAGACCTCCCACTCCTCAGACCTCCCTCTGCCCAGACCTCCCTCTCCTCAGACCTCCCTCTCCTCAGACCTCCCACTCCTCAGACCTCCCACTCCTCAGACCTCCCTCTCCTCAGACCTCCCACTCCTCAGACCTCCCACTCCTCAGACCTCCCTCTCCTCAGACCTCCCTCTCCTCAGACCTCCCTCTCCTCAGACCTCCCTCTCCTCAGACCTCCCTCTCCTCAGACCTCCCACTCCTCAGACCTCCCTCTCCTCAGACCTCCCTCTGCCCAGACCTCCCTCTCCTCAGACCTCCCTCTCCTCAGACCTCCCACTCCTCAGACCTCCCTCTCCTCAGACCTCCCACTCCTCAGACCTCCCTCTCCTCAGACCTCCCTCTCCTCAGACCTCCCTCTCCTCAGACCTCCCTCTCCTCAGACCTCCCACTCCTCAGACCTCCCTCTCCTCAGACCTCCCTCTCCCAGACCTCCCTCTCCTCAGACCTCCCTCTCCTCAGACCTCCCACTCCTCAGACCTCCCTCTCCTCAGACCTCCCTCTCCTCAGACCTCCCTCTCCTCAGACCTCCCTCTCCTCAGACCTCCCTCTCCTCAGACCTCCCACTCCTCAGACCTCCCTCTCCTCAGACCTCCCTCTCCTCAGACCTCCCACTCCTCAGACCTCCCTCTCCTCAGACCTCCCACTCCTCAGACCTCTCTCTCCTCAGACCTCCCACTCCTCAGACCTCCCTCTCCTCAGACCTCCCTCTCCTCAGACCTCCCTCTCCTCAAACCTCCCTCTGCCCAGACGTCCCACTCCTCAGACCTCCCTCTCCTCAGACCTCCCTCTCCTCAGACCTCCCACTCCTCAGACCTCCCTCTCCTCAGACCTCCCTCTCCCCAGACCTCCCTCTCCTCAGACCTCCCACTCCTCAGACCTCCCACTCCTCAGACCTCCCACTCCTCAGACCTCCCTCTCCTCAGACCTCCCACTCCTCAGACCTCCCTCTCCTCAGACCTCCCTCTCCCCAGACCTCCCACTCCTCAGACCTCCCTCTCCTCAGACCTCCCTCTCCTCAGACCTCCCACTCCCCAGACCTCCCTCTCCTCAGACGTCCCACTCCTCAGACCTCCCTCTCCTCAGACCTCCCACTCCTCAGACCTCCCTCTCCTCAGACCTCCCACTCCTCAGACCTCCCACTCCTCAGACCTCCCTCTCCTCAGACCTCCCACTCCTCAGACCTCCCACTCCTCAGACCTCCCTCTCCTCAGACCTCCCACTCCTCAGACCTCCCTCTCCTCAGACCTCCCTCTCCTCAGACCCCTCCCTCTCCTCAGACCTCCCTCTCCTCAGACCTCCCTCTCCTCAGACCTCCCTCTCCTCAGACCTCCCTCTGCCCAGACCTCCCTCTCCTCAGACCTCCCTCTCCTCAGACCTCCCACTCCTCAGACCTCCCTCTCCTCAGACCTCCCACTCCTCAGACCTCCCTCTCCTCAGACCTCCCACTCCTCAGACCTCCCTCTCCTCAGACCTCCCACTCCTCAGACCTCCCACTCCTCAGACCTCCCTCTCCCCAGACCTCCCACTCCTCAGACCTCCCTCTCCTCAGACCTCCCTCTCCTCAGACCTCCCTCTCCTCAGACCTCCCTCTCCTCAGACCTCCCTCTCCTCAGACCTCCCTCTCCTCAGACCTCCCTCTGCCCAGACCTCCCTCTCCTCAGACCTCCCTCTCCTCAGACCTCCCACTCCTCAGACCTCCCTCTCCTCAGACCTCCCACTCCTCAGACCTCCCTCTCCTCAGACCTCCCACTCCTCAGACCTCCCTCTGCCCAGACCTCCCTCTCCTCAGACCTCCCTCTCCTCAGACCTCCCTCTCCTCAGACCTCCCACTCCTCAGACCTCCCTCTCCTCAGACCTCCCTCTCCTCAGACCTCCCACTCCTCAGACCTCCCTCTCCTCAGACCTCCCTCTCCTCAGACCTCCCACTCCTCAGACCTCCCTCTCCTCAGACCTCCCTCTCCTCAGACCTCCCTCTCCTCAGACCTCCCTCTCCTCAGACCTCCCTCTCCCCAGACGTCCCTCTCCTCAGACCTCCCTCTCCTCAGACCTCCCTCTCCTCAGACCTCCCTCTCCTCAGACCTCCCACTCCTCAGACCTCCCTCTCCTCAGACCTCCCTCTCCCCAGACCTCCCTCTCCTCAGACCTCCCTCTCCTCAGACCTCCCTCTCCTCAGACCTCCCTCTCCTCAGACCTCCCACTCCTCAGACCTCCCACTCCTCAGACCTCCCACTCCTCAGACCTCCCTCTCCTCAGACCTCCCTCTCCTCAGACCTCCCTCTCCTCAGACCTCCCACTCCTCAGACCTCCCACTCCTCAGACCTCCCGCTCCTCAGACCTCCCTCTCCTCAGACCTCCCACTCCTCAGACCTCCCTCTCCTCAGACCTCCCTCTCCTCAGACCTCCCTCTGCCCAGACCTCCCTCTCCTCAGACCTCCCTCTCCTCAGACCTCCCACTCCTCAGACCTCCCTCTCCTCAGACCTCCCTCTCCTCAGACCTCCCACTCCTCAGACCTCCCTCTCCTCAGACCTCCCTCTCCTCAGACCTCCCTCTCCTCAGACCTCCCACTCCTCAGACCTCCCTCTCCTCAGACCTCCCTCTCCTCAGACCTCCCTCTCCTCAGACCTCCCTCTCCTCAGACCTCCCTCTCCTCAGACCTCCCTCTCCTCAGACCTCCCTCTCCTCAGACCTCCCTCTCCTCAGACCTCCCTCTCCTCAGACCTCCCTCTCCTCAGACCTCCCTCTCCTCAGACGTCCCTCTCCTCAGACCTCCCACTCCTCAGACCTCCCACTCCTCAGACCTCCCTCTCCTCAGACCTCCCTCTCCTCAGACCTCCCTCTCCTCAGACCTCCCTCTCCTCAGACCTCCCTCTCCTCAGACCTCCCTCTCCTCAGACGTCCCTCTCCTCAGACCTCCCACTCCTCAGACCTCCCTCTCCTCAGACCTCCCTCTGCCCAGACCTCCCACTCCTCAGACCTCCCTCTCCTCAGACCTCCCACTCCTCAGACCTCCCACTCCTCAGACCTCCCACTCCTCAGACCTCCCTCTCCTCAGACCTCCCACTCCTCAGACCTCCCACTCCTCAGACCTCAGACCTCCCTCTCCTCAGACCTCCCTCTCCTCAGACCTCCCTCTCCTCAGACCTCCCTCTCCTCAGACCTCCCACTCCTCAGACCTCCCTCTGCCCAGACCTCCCTCTCCTCAGACCTCCCTCTCCTCAGACCTCCCTCTCCTCAGACCTCCCTCTCCTCAGACCTCCCTCTCCTCAGACCTCCCTCTCCTCAGACCTCCCTCTCCTCAGACCTCCCTCTCCTCAGACCTCCCTCTCCTCAGACCTCCCACTCCTCAGACCTCCCTCTCCTCAGACCTCCCTCTCCTCAGACCTCCCTCTCCTCAGACCTCCCACTCCTCAGACCCCCCTCTCCTCAGACCTCCCACTCCTCAGACCTCCCTCTCCTCAGACCTCCCTCTGCCCAGACCTCCCTCTCCTCAGACCTCCCACTCCTCAGACCTCCCACTCCTCAGACCTCCCTCTCCTCAGACCTCCCTCTCCTCAGACCTCCCTCTCCTCAGACCTCCCACTCCTCAGACCTCCCTCTCCTCAGACCTCCCTCTCCTCAGACCTCCCTCTCCTCAGACCTCCCTCTCCTCAGACCTCCCTCTCCTCAGACCTCCCTCTCCTCAGACCTCCCTCTCCTCAGACCTCCCTCTCCTCAGACCTCCCACTCCTCAGACCTCCCTCTCCTCAGACCTCCCACTCCTCAGACCTCCCTCTCCTCAGACCTCCCTCTCCTCAGACCTCCCACTCCTCAGACCTCCCTCTCCCCAGACCTCCCTCTCCCCAGACCTCCCTCTCCCCAGACCTCCCACTCCTCAGACCTCCCACTCCTCAGACCTCCCTCTCCTCAGACCTCCCTCTCCTCAGACCTCCCTCTCCTCAGACCTCCCTCTCCTCAGACCTCCCTCTCCTCAGACCTCCCTCTCCTCAGACCTCCCTCTCCTCAGACCTCCCACTCCTCAGACCTCCCTCTCCTCAGACCTCCCACTCCTCAGACCTCCCTCTCCTCAGACCTCCCTCTCCTCAGACCTCCCACTCCTCAGACCTCCCTCTCCCCAGACCTCCCTCTCCCCAGACCTCCCTCTCCCCAGACCTCCCACTCCTCAGACCTCCCACTCCTCAGACCTCCCTCTCCTCAGACCTCCCACTCCTCAGACCTCCCTCTCCTCAGACCTCCCACTCCTCAGACCTCCCTCTGCCCAGACCTCCCTCTCCTCAGACCTCCCTCTCCTCAGACCTCCCTCTCCTCAGACCTCCCTCTCCTCAGACCTCCCTCTCCTCAGACCTCCCTCTCCTCAGACCTCCCTCTCCTCAGACCTCCCACTCCTCAGACCTCCCACTCCTCAGACGTCCCACTCCTCAGACGTCCCACTCCTCAGACCTCCCACTCCTCAGACCTCCCTCTCCTCAGACCTCCCTCTCCTCAGACCTCCCTCTGCCCAGACCTCCCTCTCCTCAGACCTCCCTCTCCTCAGACCTCCCTCTCCTCAGACCTCCCTCTCCTCAGACCTCCCTCTCCTCAGACCTCCCTCTCCTCAGACCTCCCTCTCCTCAGACCTCCCTCTCCTCAGACCTCCCTCTCCTCAGACCTCCCTCTCCTCAGACGTCCCTCTCCTCAGACCTCCCTCTCCTCAGACCTCCCACTCCTCAGACCTCCCTCTCCTCAGACGTCCCTCTCCTCAGACCTCCCTCTCCTCAGACCTCCCTCTCCTCAGACCTCCCACTCCTCAGACCTCCCTCTCCTCAGACCTCCCTCTCCTCAGACGTCCCCCTCCCCAGACGTCCCCCTCCCCAGACGTCCCCCTCCCCAGACACCTCCTGCAGCTCATCTGGGGGAATCCTTCCAGCAGAGACCCAGTCCCTCTGAGTCCTGGGTCCAATATTTTATTATCTTATTATTTTATTGAATAATCTATAATCTTACATAATAGATCCTGTTTGATGTGTGCCCTTTATCTTGCTGTAATATGCATAATTTCCAGCCAGTGCCTTATCTTCATACAGCTCTGACAGCAGCCGCTGCTCCCTCTTCCCCACTGTCGTACAGTTAATCAACATTACCTCGTAGTCCTGGTCTCTCGCCGCTGAAGAGTTGGCCACCAGGACTTCAATGAAAGCTGAGCCTTCATTCCCGATGTCGATGCTGTGCACCTGCTCCTCTTTCTCAAACTGGACAAAACAAAAACATTTATATTTATAGTAAACAATACGACAATAACAGATCAATACACGCCACGTTCTAAAATGTACAGATTTATTATAAATGTTAAGGCCATTACAGAGTTTTCACTTTCACTAAAACTTGATATTCGAGAGAGAAAAGAGCTACTTTTATAACCACCTGAAGAAGGAGAAAAAACATTACTTTCATCTCATGGAAACAATGTAACAAGTACAAACATTTGGAGAAGACCTAAACATCATTTCCTCAACATCACAGTCAGAGCAGAGAAGATATTCCCAGCAGACGAAATAACATCATTCATAGACAAAACACAGATATATTGTGAATCATATTTTACAAGAATAAAGGATTGTATAAGATTGTCCCGCTTAGTCCCTCTTGGTCCTGGTTCTATCCAGGCTGAGCTGGTACTGAAGTGTTCTAACCGACCATGGCCAGAGTGCTGCAGATCTAACATCATTCACCTGTAGAATCACAGATTATTTACCTGTAGAATCACAGATTATTTACCTGTAGAATCACAGATTATTCACCTGTAGAATCACAGATTATTTACCTGTAGAATCACAGATTATTCACCTGTAGAATCACAGATTATATACCTGTAGAATCACAGATTATATACCTGTAGAATCACAGATTATATACCTGTAGAATCACAGATTATATACCTGTAGAATCACAGATTATATACCTGTAGAATCACAGATTATATACCTGTAGAATCACAGATTATTTACCTGTAGAATCACAGATTATTTACCTGTAGAATCACAGATTATATACCTGTAGAATCACAGATTATTTACCTGTAGAATCACAGATTATTTACCTGTAGAATCACAGATTATATACCTGTAGAATCACAGATTATTTACCTGTAGAATCACAGATTATATACCTGTAGAATCACAGATTATTTACCTGTAGAATCACAGATTATTTACCTGTAGAATCACAGATTATTTACCTGTAGAATCACAGATTATTTACCTGTAGAATCACAGATTATTTACCTGTAGAATCACAGATTATTTACCTGTAGAATCACAGATTATTTACCTGTAGAATCACAGATTATTTACCTGTAGAATCACAGAGGTCTGCTTCTCTCCTGCTCGGGCTGCCTTCCACTTCCTGTAGGTGTCAGAACTCAGCAGGTTTTCAGCTTTGTGCGTCTACGTCACAAGGACACAATAATAAACAAACAAAGCTCTCTTTCACAGAAAACAGACGTGATCTCACCGTGTCTTCTGTGCTGCAGGACACTACGTGCTGCAGTTTGATGAGCGGCATGGCGCAGTGGTTAGCCTGCACCACGTGACTCCAACTGTCACTCAAACTCTCTTTTACTGTGAGAGGTCCTCAGTAAGATCCTCTAAAAGCACCAGCGACGGCACTATGAATGAGATGTGGGTGTATTCCAGCCCAAACTAGAGCGCAGCTAACATGCTAACATGCTAACATGCTAACATGCTAACATGCTAACATGCTAACATGCTACCAAACAATGGCTGGAATGGCACTGTTAGCATCCCACTGCTAGCATGGGCTTTAAACACAAGTTAAGAGTTCCACCGCGGGGACTTATCAAAGAGACTACGGCCGTATTCAACACTCGCTTCGTGTGCTGACAGATTACACATCACAAGTGCATATTTCAGGCTTTAAATCTGAATAAAGTATCATTTTCCCACCAAAACGTTGACTTATGGAGTTCTACGGAGTGGACTCGTCACGTCCGTCAACGCACTGCTCTGGACCAATCATGAGCGCGGAGCTGCACAGGCCACGCCCACCTCCACAAACGAAATTTAAAAAATAATTATATAATATTTAGAACGTGTTCAAGGCGAGTCTGAAACCGAATAAATAATTGATCTACATCAACATTTAGTATTTTTTGTGTGTGTGGAAAACGGGTCTCGTGAAACCTCTGAAGCTAAGCAGGACAGGGCCTGGCTAGTACTGTGATGGGAGACCTCTGGGAACCACAGCTGTCCCAGTGTAAAGTGCCTGTGGTGGGAGTGGTTGTGTCCTTAGGCAAGACACTTCCCACACATTAGAATGAGTCTGGTGTGTACATTGATTTCCTGTATTTGATTTTCTGATCTGTGTTGGAGAATCGACAGCTTTGTAAAGTCCTCTGAGATAAATACTTGATTTAGGACAATACAAGAATGAATTGAACTGTACACATCCTGTACTTGCAGCAGTAGTTTCATTACAATCTTTCATCATTTCCAGGAGAAATACATTCTTCATCAAAATAAATGACAATATCTCGTTATAGTAACAATCTTTATTCATTTTATGATGTATTTGTAGTTTTAAAGTACACACAATAGACACTAACATTTATAACCAGAGAACATTTACATATCCGTACCTAGAAGAGCATTGAACACAATAAAAATGACACATAGAGAACATCCATCCTTCCATTTTCTTCCGCTTCATCCGTTGCCGGGTCATGATAACGGATGAATCTTTCTCTGACATAGTTCAGAGAATCTCCAGGTAAATGGCTGTGTCTGCGGCTGTGTCTGCGTCTGTGTCTGCGTCTGTGTCTGCGTCTGTCGCTGCAGGACTCTGGGCTCTGTCTCTTGGTCCTGAACTACTCTGGTTTCCTCTGTTTCTCCGCTCTGCTCGTCTGCGTCTCTCTCCTCCTCGTCTGCCCATCGGACGACTCTGAAAGGTTTTAAATATACAGAGTTTTAACTACACACTTCTGCTGGTGTTACAGAATAGAAAAACAATCAGACCTGTTTGGTTTGGACGAAACAGGGCGTGGAGTTCTGGTAGACGAGTTGGTAGCTCCCGTTTGTGTAAATATGGGTCACTTCAGTGCAGTTGATGTAGAGAGGCGTCCTTTCCTGGTAAATGCTGAGGTTTTCAGGACGTGTGGCCGGACGCAGCGAGCCTCTGGAGACAGACACACACTGTGAAACATGGAAGACACACAAAGAAGAGGAAGCACCGAGTCTGTACTTTTTAGTCCTGTTTCTGAAGCAGCACAGACCGACGCAGAGCAGGAGGAGCAGACAACAGACGGTCACAGCTGGAAGCACGAGCCACAGCAGCGGAGACGCCTCTGTGCACAACGGGAAAGATTTAATATTATTTAATGACAATAACAATCAAGACACACAGACACAGAAGCAACACAAAAACACACACAGCAAGGGCAAGATTCTGAGGCTTGTTTTTAAATGTTTAAATGGTTTGGTATATCTGTATATCTGTCTGTGTGTCTGTGTGTCTGTGTGTCTGTGTGTCTGTGTC